AATAAAGCCTCTTGCTGTTTGCATCTGATCTGTGGTTTCGGTGTGTTTCCCGGGTCTGGGGTCTCTCCCTGAGGGAAGATCTCCCCTGGGGGTCTTTCACCAGTAAGAACTGGCCAGAGACTTAGATTTCGATGACAGCATGCAGGGCACAGCTCTACATGTTTGTTGTATTTACAGTACCTAGCACCTTTCAACAATCCTGTGAGAGCTGTTTCGTGATAGGTAGAACTCTAAAGATGTTCATCATGCAAAGATTCTCATCTCCATTTAGCAAAGCTGTAATCCAGGCACTACTCAGAAGATGTAATTTCAGCCATATACCTTAAAGCCTAGGGGAATTAGTCTAGATTATTTGATTATGTCTCATTTAACCATTTGAGCTCTTAAAAATAAAAATGTAGGTAAAAGAAAGCAGAGGAGAAACTGGTTAGTTAGATTACCAAACATTAGGGAGGTATTTTCTACTATTTGGAGGTAAGGACACAAAACAATGGGTGTGACTAGTCTTTAAAAGCAGAGAATCCCTAGAAACCAGCAGAATGTAGAAACTGCATGAAACTGAATTCTACCAACAACTTGAATGAGTTTAGAAGCAGATTCTGCCCCAGGCCCCTGAGGGAGCCTTACCTGTGGAGCTTTAGATTAGGGACTAAAGAGAATTGGAGCGCTTGGTTGTATTCTGGTTGTGGGTGGGGTAGGTAATCAATGTTAGAATATTGTTGGAGCAAGATGGGTATAGTATCTGTCACCCCAGAATTCTGGTGGAGGCAGGACTGCTGAGCGATAGAAGCCAGCATGGGCTGCATAATGAATGGATTACAGAAGGAGTCCATATTTCAAAAACATCTAGGAAAGGGTACATTGGTCTACTTGTCAACAAACAGACATTGTTTCCATCAGTATTAAGTTTCCTGACTTGTGGTTAGAGTGTTCTTAGGAGGTAAGTGCTCAAGTATTTAAAGATGAAATACATCCATTACGTATGTAGTCAGCGTTAAAGCAAACGTGTAAAGTGAAGCAATGACCGTTGGTAAATGTGGATGACACCGTACGAATTTTATTATTTACAACTTGCCTCAAAATAGTTTCAAGTTTTTCTAAATAAAACGTTGGCAGGGGAATAAAAAAAAAATCAGCGTGGGCATTCTATGCAGAATGCATCTGGAGTAAACAGGAGAGAAGAAGGGATGAGAAGGAGCTGCTGAAGTCGGGTTGAAATTTGGAGTAATAAAGACAGCAGAGATTTTTTTTTTTTTTTAAAGACATTCCGCTCCACCCTCCTAAGGTCAGGTTGGGCCAGCGAACTCAGTCCTAGGGATGAGAAATTGCCGGACAATTGCAGTTAGGGTTACACACACAACACAATCCAGGCCGGGGGTGTGGCCGCAGCTCTGCAAGCCGATTTGGTTGGGCTCGCTCCCGCCGGGGCCCAGGCACTTTGCGCTTGCGCAGAGACGAGCCCACTCCTCCCCCTGCAGTGGGGGAGGCGACGTCCTGAAGGTCATTAGTCCTCCACTAGGCTTCCTCCGCGTCCTTGGCCTTCCTCTCCGCCGAGCTTTCCCTCACCCCAATGTATCATACAACTAATGTTTAATTGAGACAAATCCAGAATTGTATGAACATTGATCTTCCCCCCTCCACCCCACTCCGTGAGTGGGCTGGGCCGTGGGCCGGAAGCGGAAGTGCTGGCCAGTGTCTGCGGGTTCCGCTCTAGCTATGGAGGAGGCTCCGATCAGGGAACCGGTGCTGGACGCCAAATCAGAGGTAAATGCGGCCTGGGAGGGCCTGGGAGGGGCTGGGGCGGACGGTGGCGCCGGGAAGGCTTTTCTCTGACTTGTGTTTCTGCTTCTGTTCCAGGTCACCTGCCAGGTGAGTGACCGCCCCTCGCTGTCGCAGCTGTCGGCATGCCGTCCCCGCCCCTCTTCGTGGGTCCTTCCCCAGGGTTGCATGTTCCCCTTGGGCCTGAGGGGATAGCCGCTGACGGTGTGATTTAGGCTGCTCTGCCCACAGAATGCAGACCTAAGCCTTGTTCCGTCTTAATTAGTCAGCCTTTATGCCAAGGTAGGAATATGGTGTTTTAAAACGTGAGGGTTACGTGAGCAACTACTAATGCTTGCAGAGATAGCTCCTTTCCTCTTCTCTTCTTCTTTTAACTTTCTGATTATTTTGCTTTTTGTTGAGACAGGGTCTCGCTGAGTAGCCGTGGCTAGCCAGGAACTTTTCTAGGAAGACCAGATTGGCCTTGGCCTCTCAGAGATCCACCTGCCTCTGCCTCAGAAGTGCTGGGATTAAAGGCGTGTGCCACCAAGCCCAGCCATTTCTTTCTTTCTTTTTTCTTTTAATATTGGTGTTTTGTCTGCATGTGTGTCTGTGTGAGGATGTCAGGTCCTCTGAAACTGGAGTTACAGACAGTTGTGAGCTACCATGTGTTTGCTGGGAATTGAACCCCGGTCCTCTGGAAGAGCAGCCAGTGCTGTTGACCACTGAGTCATCTCTCCAGCCTATTTTTTTAAAAATAAATTTATTTTTATTTTATGTGCATTGGTGTTTTGTGTGCATGTATCTCCATGTGAGGGTGTCAGATCTTGGAGTTACAGACAGTTGTGAGCTGCCATGTGGATGCTGGGAATTGAACCTGGGTCCTCTGGAAGAGTATTCAGTGCTCTTAACCGCTAAGCCATCTTTCCAGCCCCACCCAGCCATTTCTTTAAGGAAGTTGTTTTGAAGTTGAAAGATAATTTTTCTAACCTTTTATATTTTACATTAGGAAGAAAAAGTTGGCTTTCTAAGTTAATAACATTTCTCCAAGAAAGTCAGAAAACTGGAGTTTTAGACCAGGAGTTTCCGAAGCTCACATAAAATGTGAGAAAGTGGTGCAGTGAAAACATTGTAAGAATGAAGGGGCCAAGAAAAGTGTGTATTGACTGTTACTTGTCTCCAAATGATTTTTTTTTCTTTTTAAGTTGAGTTAGGCTCTCCCTAAACTGTTGAGGCTGACTTTAAACTCAGCTTGTGGTCCACACTGGCTTCAAACTTGTGATTGTCTAACTCCAGCATCCCCCAAGTACCTAGATTTACATGCCTGGCACTCGATGGCTTATCTCGCTGTTGCTTTTGAAGACTCTTGGGAGAGGAATAAACTCGGTGATACCGAGAAACCTACTTATCTTTGCATAACATTATAGGAGTTATTGGCGCTTAGTCGTTTTGTTTTTGTTTAAAATTTATCTTTATTTTATTTGTCTATACAACACATGGGTCCCCAGAGGCCAGAAGAGGCCTTGGAGTCTCTGGAATTGGAATTATAGATGGTTGTGAGCTGCTGTGTAGGTGCTGGAAACAGAGCCTGGGTTCTATGCAAGAGCAGCAAGTGTTTTTAACCACCAAGACATCTCTTTAACCAGAGTTAATTCAGTTGGTATTATTATTATTATTATTATTCAGTCTCATGAATTATTTTTTTCATTCTCTTTACATTATGTGTTCTGTTAAAGATGCCCTGATACTGAACTCTACTGGGCTATAGTTTTTTACTTATTTATTTTATGGAAATTTTCTACCGTAAAGCAACACAAGTCTAGCCCTTCCACTTCTGGAGGTCAGAAGGATAAACCCAGTCTTCCCAAGGTGAAGGAGGGTTTGGGTATGGCTGGAGGGGAGGGTCTCCTGTTGGTCTTTTCCTGTCCTTAGCTGCCTCCTTTCTTGGTTTGGGGCCTGTGCATGATCCCAACCCCTGCTTCTTCTGACTCAGACCCTCTTGCCTTCCTTCTACAAAGAATCATTACATTGAGATCACATCCAGGACAATGCAGCCCAAGATCTTAATTTTGTTACACCTTTAATGTCTGCTTTCTCACATGGAGAAAGCCCCTGTGATTAGGACATGGTTGTATCTGAGTGACCAGTGTAATCCCTTCCACACAGTGACTCATCAGTGATTGGTCATATGATTATGTATATTAAAAAAACCAAAATAATTTACAAGACTATTAGAATTAGTAATGAACTTGGGAATATGATTCAGTTTTGGGTATTTGTGGATTTTTTTTTTTTTTGCATGTTCAGACACAGAGCTGAAAAATATAGCTTTAAACAAGTTTCAAAACTTGAAAAAAAAATTATATAGTATGTTGCAAATAAACCTACCAAGCTAGGTTTGTATGCCTGTTTCAGCACCTGGGTGACCGAAGCAGGAAGGTCACCACAATTGTGAAGCCAGTCTGGGCTTTGCAGAAAAATTTGTCTCTTACTCGTCCCCCCCCCCCAAAAAAAAAGAAAACAAATAACAACAGGAAAAACAAACAAACACAAAACACTTCTAATGAGCTGTTTCACGCCTTTATGAGGAAAATGACAGGACTATCTAGGTGGATCCCTGGGTGAAGGAGCTTGCTGCCGAGCTTAATGACCTGAGTAAAATCCCTGGAACACGTGGTGAAGCAGAAGACAAACTTATTTCAAGTTGTCCTTCGACCTCCACGTGCCCGAGTAAATACAAGTAAAAAAAAAAAATTAATTGTGAAAAACAGGGGGTCTAGCATGTAGGGACCTAAGAAGTTATTACTTGGTCCTAAGTAATTAGAAACTGAAAAGTCAGCAGCTCTTCTTGTGTCTGTCAGAGAAGTATATCACTAGGCATACATTAGTTTCGCTGCAAAAGAAAATCAGTCAGTCAGCAAGTATATTTTGATTGCCAGCCACTCTCTCATGTTTGGAAGGAAGATAGACAAATTCTTAGTGCCAATATCAAGAGCTGCGTTTATCCAGTTCTGTTTGATGCCCTGGCAACCCCGAAGAAGCAGCAGCAGGAACCATTAAAAACACAGTAGTCGTTAAGCTTTTCCTCTTTACAGTAGACAGACATCGGTTTCTGTTCTGGGTTCTGAAATGTGTGACCTTGAGTCTATTACCTAAGCTCTCTGAAACTGGCTTTTGTCTTCTGCAAAATGGAAATAATAACTTATAAAACTGTGGTGATTCAGTGAGGCACTGAACAGGTACGTACCCGGCCTGGCATGTCACCTGTCATGTGTCCGTCACGAGGACTGATGAAATCCAAAGGCTCATCATCACCACTCATTCTAATAGTAGGTTTGAGCTGGACAGTAACAACTGGGATGGGTTCCACATGCCTCAGGCAACGGTGAGGACCATGTCACCCATCTTCTGTTTTAGGACTTGGGTATGGAGCAAGAAAGGTTAAAAATGCTCCAAAGCATTTAGGGTGCCTGGAAGTGGAGAAGAAATTAAGCCTGTTACAAAAAGCCACTCTCCACATCTTCTATTGTACATCTGGTGGACGTTTAGATTCCTTTGTTTGACATTTTGCTTTACTCCGCTTGTTTCCTGATTCTGTTTATCCCCTTTGTTTTCTTCACTGCCATTTGGCCAGTTTTTGCCTACCAACAGAAATGAAGCCTTTTCCTTGTACTGTGACCGATACTGAAACAAATAGAAGACTGAAGACAGAAATTGGGTATTTGTTCAAGGCAGTGGTTTCTCACGGGATATTTGTGCTGTTGTGTTAAAGCTTATAGATTTTCAGTGGAAACTGGGCATGGCTGTGAGCTCTGACAGCTGCAGATCCCTCAAGTATCCGTATGTGGCAGTGATGCTGAAAGTAGCCGATCATTCTGGCCAAGTGAAGAGCAAGGCCATCGAAATGACAATCCCACAGTTTCAGGTTGGTAGTTGAACTCACCGAAGTTAGTATCACTACTGTTTCAAAAGCTGTCTGTATTACACTCTTTCTCAAAGGAAAATGTGTATTTACTTGCAGATTGATTGTCTTTCCATCATACTAAAAAATTTTCTATAAAGTTATTTTCTCTGGGAGTTTGTTAAATTTTTTTCAGTAAGATTTGTGTAGAGTGCCCTTTAATTACCATAACAGTTTTCGATGAATATATTTAGGAATATTTCATCTTCTCTATGAGATATTTACTCTGTAATCAACCTCTTATTATTTTTCTTTAGGTTTAATAATAATTTTAAGCAAAAGTTATCTTTTTGGGGGATAACATTGACATAGGGTTTTTAGACTGTTTACAGGGTGCAGTTCAGAGCTAATAGGTATTGATAGGTCTTACTAGCTAGAGATTTAAGTAACTCAGTAGTTTATGCTTAAATTTAGGCATTCATATTATTATTTTACTTACCTTCTGTTCAAGGAAGAAAACAGAAGTGTCTTATTTAGGCTTTTCATCACTCTGAGGAGACACCATGACCATGGCAACTATTAAAAAGAAAACATTTAATTGGGGTGGCTTGCTTACAGTTTGAGATTCAGTCAGTTGTCATCATGATGGGGAGCAGGCAGACGTGGTAGCTACATCTTGGCTTACAGGCAACAGGAAGTTACTGTCACATTGAGAGAAGCTTAAGCAAAAAGAGACCTAAAAAAAGCCTGCCCTACAGTGACACATACTTCCTCCAATAAGGCCACACCTCCTAATAGTGCCACCCCCTTTGAGGACCATTTTCTTTCAAACCACCACAGGGAATGAACGCTAAGTCCAATTTCCTTTCGAATGGATATTATGGGAGATGCCTATCATTAGCTGATTTAACTAGCATGTACTGTTTTGGTTTGGTTTTCTATGACCCCTTCAGTAGCTGAAGCATATCTCAAAGTTGAGCACTCTAGAAAAGCAATCATAGTGGATGAAATGGAAAGAAAAGTTAATCTTTTGAAAAAGATTAAAAATGCATTGGTTCTGGGCTTCCTTTATTGTTATTTGTTTCATTTGGGGTGCATGGGTGTTTTGTCTGCTTGTGTATCTGTGTGCCTACCACATGCATGCAATATGCATTGAGGCCAGAAGAGGGCATCAGATCCCATGGGACTGGAGTTTCAGACTGTTGTAAATGGCCAGGTGATGCTGGCAGTCTAACCCAGGCTCTCTGGAAGAGCAGAGTGGAGCCATCTCTTCAGCCCTGCGCTTCCTTTTTTATTTGTGTATGATGTGGGTGGGGATCACACGTACGCCTTGCTCATGCGAGGTAGGTGCTCTACCTCTAAGCCAAGGCTGTCCCTCCCCATCCTGGGCTTCTGGAAAGTCTTTCATACACCACTGTATGACCTTTGAGTTCCTCTTTATATAAAAAGTGTATTTTAAGAGGCTCTTGATAGACAAGACTACACACATTTCTTCTTATTAATGTTGATGAGGGTTTGAAGGAATGAGGTGTGGGGAAAGGAAGTGTAGTGTGTAGTCATTGACTGAATGTGAAAAACCAGATTCGCCTCAGGCATTTCAGTCATGCACAGGTGCAGGCCCTTCCTTCTGTGCGGTACACTTCTATAGGTTTTTTCCTTTGGGAATAAATAAATAAATTAGTAAACAGATCACCTTTCCCCTGAAGCATTGTTGAGGTGTAAGTGATAGATGAAAATTACATGTTTTCAGTGTGCACAGTGTGATTTGGTAAAAATATATGTTGTGCAGTGACTGTCCATGAAGGTAATTATCATGTGCATTACCATACAGTGTATATAAATGTATGTGCACTGAGAACATTTAAAATCTACTCTCATATTCTCACATACTCTGCATTCTATACATTAGATCCTCAGAACTTGTGTAGCTAAGTTAGTACGCTTTAGCCAACATCTTTACTTTTTCCCCACCTCCAGCACCTGACACCACCTTTGAGTTCCTATATCTGTGAGTCCAACATTCTTAATATAAGTGAGGTCATATGGGGCTAGAGAGATGGCTCAGCAGTTAAGAGCACTGGCTGTTCTTCCCAAGGTCCTGAGTTCAATTCCCAGCAACCACATGGTGGCTCCCAATCATCCATAATGAGAGATGTTGCCCTCTTCTGGCCTGCAGGCAGAACACTGTATACATAAAAAAATCTTTTTTTTTTTTTTTTAAAGTGAGATCATACAGTGTCTCTCTTGCTGTGTCTTGTTTGTCTTTACCATGGTCACTGTGTTGGAAATGGCAGGACTTTTTCTTGTTTTTTTTTTTTTGTTGTTTTTGTTGTTTTTGTTTTTCCTTTATATGTTACTTGGTCCTTTTCCTTTGCAGCTCTTAATATTTTTT